CCCAGAGAGGCAGATGCTCAAGGATGACCCCCATGAGGATCACCCCGACACTGCTGAGGTGATCTCACCAGACATACACCTGGCAGTGCTCAGGGCTCATGCGTTGCCAGGTTCAGATTGGAAGGCTCCCAGTGCTTGGAATCATCTGCTGGCTGTGAGTTTTTTCGGGACAGTATGATAAAGAATAATGAACTAAAAATCATCTGAGAACTCACATGTGAAATTCTTCATAACAATAACAATATTTTAAAATCTATTTCCTTTTAAAATAAAATCCACAAGAATGTAAGTCATAAACTAATGATTTTGGCTATTTAGAAAGGGTGAGTAAAACTGGATAAAGGTATAAAAGATGTGATACTTCTTTTGAATATTGCCTTTATCTTAAAAATCTAACACATTTGTGGCTGGAGCGATAGCACAGCAGGTAGGGTGTTCGCCTTGCACATGGCTAACCTGGGTTCAATTCCCAGCATCCCATATGATACCCTGAGCTCCACCAGGAGTAATTCCTGAGTGCAGAGCCAGGAGTAACACCTGAGCATCGCTGGGTGTGACCCAAAAAGAAAAAAAAATCTAACAAATTCAAACAATGAAATATCTCAACAATTTAAAAATATATTCCTACCAATAATTTAAACAAGTTGGACATAATTAAATAATTTTAATTATTTAAAAATAATTTAAAAGGTTCACATGTTCAGAAATTAAATAATATCTATCCCTGTAGCTCACAGATCAAAGGGGCAAAAAGCAAACTGGAAATCAGAAAATAGTAAAAATTGTGTAATAATAATGTAACATATCAAAATCTGTGGTACAGATAAAGCAGTACTTAGATGATTATAGTCTTAAAATGACTATAGAGGCCAAACAGACAGTACAACAGGTAAGGTGCTTGCTTTGCATATGGACAACCTGGGTTCAATTCCTGGTGTCACAGATGAGACAGGAGTGATCCCTGAGCACCACTCGGTTTAGCCCAAACACCCTTCAAAAATTAATACAAGGAAAATATTATAATTACTGAAATGAACAAACAATTTAGGATATTATAAAAATAAGATATAATAAATATAGCAAACACATTAATGTGTTAGGTGTAATAACATCAAACAAAGACCCCACAAACACACAGCAACTGAATAACTAGATATCTATGTTATGTTCTAAAGAAATTCTACTACATGTTCAGAAAATATACAAAAAAATTTAGAGCAAATTTGTCAAAACTGGAACATTTACACAATCTGGGAAAAAAGCATAGAAAAAATAATTTGAAACACAAAAAATAGAAGCATTAACTACATTAGTATATATTTATCCTTAAGAACTTTATTCTAAGGGCTAGAGAGAGAGAACAGTGAGTAAGGCATTTGCCTTGCACACACACAACCCAGGTTTGATCCCCAGCAACCTATATAGTCCTCTGAGGACCACCAGGAGTGATCCCTAAGCACAGAGCCAGGAGAAAGCCTTTGGCACCAACAGGTGTGGCCCCAAAACAAAAAACAACAACAAAAATTTATTCTCTCTTAATTTTTATTTAAAAGTAAAAATTATATATTTTAAAAGTAAAATGCAAAAGTTTGCATACATTTTGATAAAAATACATGAAATTTATGATATTATAATATACCTGGGCTGGAGCGATGGCACAGCCGTAGGGCGTTTGCCTTATAAGGGGCCAACATGGCCGACCCGAGTTCGATTCCTCCGCCCCTCTCCGAGAGCCCGGCCAGCTACCGAGAGTATCTCGCCTGCACGGCAGAGCCTGGAAAGCTCCTCGGGACATATTCAATATGCCAAACACAGTAACAACAAAGTCTCCAATGGAGACGTTACTGGGCCCGCTCGAGCAAATCGATGATCAACGGGAGGACCGTCACCATGACCATGATAATAATACACCTAAGTATGGTTTAAGGATTTATATATGGTATATAATTATATATAAATTAAAATTATAATAGCAATAGAATGTCACTGTCACTGTCCGCCCGTTGTTCATCGATTTGCTCTAGTGGGCCCAGTAACATCTCCATTGTGACAATTTTTACTGTGTTTGGCATATCGGCTACGTCACAGGGATGCAATACTCTTGGTAGCTTGCCAGGCTCTCCTAGAGAGGCGGAGGAATCAAACTCGGGTCAGCCATGTTGGCTGCATGCAACGCAAACGCCCAACCCACTATGCTAATTGCTCCAACCCAGCAATAGAATGATAAACAATAAATTCAATAATAATGGCAACATCTTAAAAAGATATAAGGGTTATTGCTATATTGTACTATATTTGGTGGGCTAGAAAAAACGGTTTATTATATAATTTTTATGTCTTATTTATCATTTATTAGTCTTATTAATTTATTAGTCTTATTAATTTATTATTTATTACTCTTATTAATTATGTTAACAATAAATAATATAAATATAAAATTACAAACCATTAGATGAAAATATTCATAATCTAAAAGTCATTCAACCAAATCCATAAAAGAATAATACTTTTGCCATAATTTTAGTTTTAATTGCATTAAATAAACTTTGGATATAAGACCAGTTAGTACAAAAGAAGAGAGAAGGTCAGCAGAAAGGGTAAATACTGGTACAAAGGAATTCAACTTGCTAATTTTTAAGGACCCACACTGGGAAACTATATAATGCTATAATGAAGATACTTGCATCACTATTAAAACAAGATTTCAATATATGCAAGATTTAGAAAATTTCTATATTCAAAGAAAGACAAAGAAACTTTAGGAAAGATGGCGAAAAATACAAATGACCACTGAAGATTTTTTAAATTGCTCAACTTTAACACTAATCAAAGAAATATAAACTAGTAAGAATTATTAGAAAATGTATTAAACAATGAGAATTTTAAACGTTGTGGAAATATGAAAATAAGTATGGTTATACATCATTGGCAGAAGTATAAATTACTAAAAGCAATTTAATTCTCCTTTGTAGACTAATAAAAAATTAAAAATTTGCACATAATTTTGTATTTTTTAAGTCTACAAGAGTATTTTTTGTAAACTATAATTTCAGTTTCAGTTTTTCCAACATGTTTGCAATAGCAAAAACAAGAAAATATATAAATGTTCTTTGATATAAATAATAGCTAATAAATTATTATTTAGTAATAGTAGTAATCAGTCACTGCACTGCACTGCACTGCCCTCCCGTTGTTCATCAATTTGCTCAAGCAGGCACCAGTAACGTCTCCATTGTGAGACTTGTTGTTACTGTTTTTCGCATATTGAATATGCCATGGGGAGCTTGCCAGGCTCTGCCATGTTGGCAGGATACTCTCCGTTGATTGCCAGGCTCTCCGAGAGGAGTGGAAGAATCAAACCCGGGTTGACTGCGTGCAAGGCAAATGCCCTACCTGCTGTGCTATCGCTCCAGCCCAAGTAGTAATCATGATAATCTATTCCTAAGGATACTACCTGACCATTGAAAGGAATCTAGACCCACACAATTGGGTTAGGGGTGGGAGATGGATAGTGGAGTGTTGGAGTTCTAAGGGGAGGGATTGGGTACTTTGGTGATGGGCACGGTGTTATAATCATTGTAATAATATTGTAAACCACAAAGTATCACATAAACATTTTTAAATAAAAAAGATTAGTTAACATTATCTAATGGCGAACAGTATTAGAAGAATTTGTGCATATGAACACATTTAATCCTGATGATGAAACAGACATGTATTTGGATAACTAGTATAAGTTACCCATACACAAAAGCAGTAATGGCAGGTTTAGAATTTAGGCAGTAATTTACTTGTAGACTATCTGTAGAAACAACTTACTTCTAGACTCCCATCTGAAGTAATACGGACAGTTCTTCATGTTAAAAAAAAAAAGCAATGCACAGAATAAGAGAAACAGAATTTGGCAGGCTTACATATATGTTTGCATATTCATAGAGCAGGAACTGAAAAAGCAAATGGCCAAGTGTGAAAACAAACATGAAGGAAAGTTGATAAATGACAATATATCTTAGTTATTAGGAGCTGACATTTTCAATAGACCATTTATACTTCTTTCCATTCAGTAGATCTTTGTACGGTAACACTTGTTCAGAAGCACTTGATCAGAAACTACTAGATGTCGCAGTGTCAGTGAAAAACAGAAAAGAAAAAAAAAAAGACACTCCTTGTTCTTGTGCAGCTTCCAATTTCGTGGCAAGAATAAGTACTAAAATTATCAGTGTAAAATGTGTAACAAGTGGCACCAATGAAAGTATTTGGTGTAGGAAGGTGTAAGTCAGTGGAGAATGATTAGGAAATATTTCTGATTACATAACGATTGGGCTCAGGCCTCATAGGAAGAACAGGATACAGGAGCAAAAGCGAATAGGGTGGAGGGATGGATTTCAGGGTGGGAATACAGCAAGTGTTATGTGAGAGAAACTATTACCTTTAAAGACTTGAAAGAAGATGAGTGGGGACAGAGTGTGCTCATAGGTGGGGGAGAAAGATTACGGTACAGAAATTACCATACTAAGAATTGTTACTTCTCTTGCAAGAGAAGTAGGAAGGCATTGAAGAAGATTGGAGGTGTGGCAGGGGGCGGGGGCAGAGAAGGGGCAGAGAAGGAGAAAAAAAGCAAGAGAATCTGGGGAGTGATTTGTCTTGAATAGATTAACTTTTTTCTGGGGAAAGACAAAAAAATGAGATTTTGCTAATTCTATATACCACGAAAGAAACGAGAGTTTAGTTTGAATGTTGGCAACATGCATGGAGGTACACGAACAGGTTCTGTCACTGATGCAGTAAAAAAAATCCATCCACTAAATCTTGGTTATGCAATTTGGGAGTCAGCGGGAAGGAAGTGTTGGCACTGTGTATAGGAAGACAGGAGACTGGAAGGGAACAAGGAGGGCAAAGACTCATTCTTAGTCTGTGCCCTGCTGATGAGACCAACAACCCTAATGTGAGCGGTGCCTGTTAGGAAAACTCAAAATAAACAAATTAAAAAAAAATCTGACCTTCAGGTGAAAACTGTTTACTCCCATTTCCTCTGTCCACAATCTTGACTCTGGGCTTTGGATCCTTTCTTTTTTCTAAATCATTAACTGGGGAAAAAAATAAAAATACAACAATATGTTACCTTAAAGTTGAAGAACATAGTGAGTTTTACTATAACCCTGCAAATATTGAAATTAACATCATGATAGTATCTCATTCCCGAAGACTGAAACTGCTATTTTTTTCAACCTTATCCTGGGAAGGAGTAGAAAGGACATAAAGTATTATTGTGATGGAGCTATCATTATGAGCAGATCTACCAAATAAATGTAAATACTCCATTACACCCTTTCAAACACGGCAGCAGGAAGGACTAGGAGGCTAAGTCACCAAGACACAGCTCATAAAACCACATGTAGGAGAAGCCAGGGAGACAGTACAAGGGGTAAGACCACCACCCTCCCACTCTGGGTTCCATCAGCAGTGCTACAGATGACTCCTCAAACCCTGCTGGAGCCTAAGTGTAGGAAGGTATAAGCCAGTGGAGAATGATTAGGAAATATTTCTGATTACATAACGATTGGGCTCAACCCTCATAGGAAGAACAGGATACAGGAACAATAGCTAGTAGGGTGGAGGTATGGATTTCAGGGTGGGAATACAGCAAGTGTTATATGAGAGAGACTATTACTTCTAAAGACTTGAAAGAAGGCAAGTGGGGACAGTGTGTAGCCCCAAAACAACAACAACAAATATTCTGAACAAACAGAATGTGGTGGCCAGTGATATAGCCCCAGAGCATAAGCCTTGCATGCACCTGAAGTTGGGCCCAAGACCCAGCACAGTAGGCTTCCCCCAAGATCTGCTGCATGTAGCATCCCTGGGCCTGAACAATGCCACCTTACTAGGCTCTAGCATAGAATACATAGCCAAGTATTGCTAGAGGTGACCCTGAGGGACCCTGAACACTGCTTGGGAGACTTCCCCCAAATTAAAAAGATCATATGGTCATGAGTATCATCATTTGGAACTGATAGGAGTGGACAATCCCATAATAACTTGCTTTCAAAGCTTTTTTACACAAATATTGTACCTCTGCTCTAAATAGTTAAGTATTTTTGTCACTTTCATCATGCAATGTGTTTTCATAAATTTTTAATTGAATCGTAGTGAGATACACAGTTACAAAGTTGTTCATGATTAGATTTCAGTCCTACAATGTTTCAATACCCTCCCCTTCACTAGTGTACTCATCCCCCACCAATGTCCCCAGTTTCCCTCCCACCCCACCCCACCCCTGCCTCTATGGAAGGCACTTTTTTTTCTTTTTCTTTTTTCCTGTCTCTCTGTCTCTGTCTCTCTGTCTCTGTCTCTGTCTCTCTCTCTCTGTCTCTGTCTCTCTCTCTCTCTTTCTCTCTCTCTCCCCCCCCCTCTCTCTCTGTCTCTCTCTCTCCCTTAACTTTTGGACATTATGGTTCATGCAACATATTTTGTGATTTTCAGAGACCCACAATCTTCATATCTTCATGAGCCTTTATTACAGTTTCTCAACAGGAGGGCCATATAGTCCTACACAGCCCAAAAATATTCCAAGGTAATCATGGGTCAAAACTGCATAATTAGGGGTCAGACGCACAATAATAGGGGGCTGGTTGGGTAGGACAGATAGGCACAGGAAGGAAATAAGCTCAGTAAAGGGTCATGGCTAGAAAAAGCTTCAAAGAACACCACTTTACAACACTCCTCCCAAGCTCCACCACCAGTTTTATTTTTTACGGCCTTTCCTGCTTAAAGCACTACAGCAGCTTTTCTGCTATTGGTTGGAGCTTGAGTTGTTTGTGACATTCAAGCCTACTGCCAAAATGGAAGTAGTTTCTGCACAAATGAAATACCCTGTGAAGAAGCAAAATGATGTGTAGCCAAGATAGAGCTCATTTAATTGCTATATGCACTTCTTGGAAATCAACAAACTTATCAGAGGGTGAGATACTTAAGTGAAGTAATGATTTTTCTCTGAACCTTTCTTCCTGTCTCCTCTATGATACTGTTTCATTTTAATACTGTCTTTCTCATCTTCTCTTCCTCCTTCTCTTTCTACTGGCTTCCATCCCTACACTGAAAGAAAGAGTCTATGACCTGCCATCTGCCAAGGTCATGCTTCTCTAATTCTCTTATTTCCCTTAGAAATCCTCCTTAGCTTTCAGATAGCCAAGATTAAATTTCAAGATTTAAAAAATAGAACAGATACAAGATGACTTGATACTCATATTCCCACTGGCTTCTAATTATCTCGGTGCATTTTCAGATTCTATTCTCTGACTTCTTAAAGCCATGACTACTTTGGAACCCAGATCTCTTAAATTCTTTTCTTTCTTCATTTTTACAAAGGCATTACTGTGGGTTTTCTGGTATTCCTCAGAGCCCTTCCACGAAATTCTTATTTCTTATCCCTTTTCTGCTTCCATTTTAGAAGCATAATCACACACTAAAATCGCCTTGCATCTTTGGACATCTCACAATCCCACAATTTAAACTCCCACCATTCAATGGATAATTTTCAAATCTGTGTCTTTATCTCTATCCAAACTTAAACAAACGATGGCCTCAAATTGCTTTGTTCTATCAAAGAAAATAATACTGCAACGTTAGTACAAGGAAACCTGTGCCAAGCTATAGCAAAAGTAGAAATAAATCTGAAGAACAATTCCAGAGGTAGATACTGGGGAATATTTCATATGGAAAAGAGATACTTGAGCCAGACGTGGAAAGACGAGCAAGACTTTGCAGGCAGACACTAGTAAAATGTCATTCCAAAGAGGAAACTGGTGACCAGAAAGAAAGCTGGCCAATACAGGACAGTACACAAGTCTAGAGATGAAAAAGAAGAATGAGTCCCTTTGAATTGGGTCACTAGGTCATGTACAAGGTGTAATATATGTCACTCTAAACTCTCAGACAAAGCAAATTTGAGAGACAAAACAGACTGCTTTGAGCAAAGTGGAATTTGAGGGGTTTTCTTTATTGGGTAGAGTGCCCCAGCAGTGCTCAGGGCTTACTCCTAGCTCTGTGCTCAGAGCTCACCCTTGGCAGGCTCTTGGGGCCCTATAGGCAGCAAGGGATTGAACCCAGTTGGTTGACCATGAGAACGCCCTACCAACTGTGCTATCACTCTGGTCCCAAGTGGTGTTTACCATAACAATAGCCTTGATCCATGACTAAGGAGCTCAAGTGAACACAATGATAGCCAGATAACAACACCCCATTTGCACCCAAAAGAAACCCAAGCTGGAAGCAGTTGAGTTCCCAGTACAAACGCATGCCCTATATTTGTTGACTCTTTATTTGGGGGGCATATCACATCTGGTGGTGCTGGGGGAGAACTACCCACTGATCAGACTGGGGGTGGTTGCTACAGTGGCTGTTCAGAGCACGGTCCAGAGCTAGAGGTCTAGTCAGAGTGAGCAGCGTGCAAGACTAGCTCCTCCACTCCTGTGCTCTCTCTGGCCAACCATTCTCTAGGTTTGGAATCATAACATCCTGCACATCTGATATGACTTTCTAGCTAGCTTTAAAGCCAAAGATTGTTTCTTATGCACGCATGCATACAGAAGATGGATTTATAAGGAATCCAAGGCCCTGGGGCTAGGAGTATAAATATAGTGGGTAAGGCACTTGCCTTCCACAAAGTCAACCAAGGTTTTGTCCCTTGAACAGAATCCCACTAGGAGTAATCTCTAAGTGCAGAGCCAGGAGTAAGCCCTCAGCACCAATGTGTGTGGCCCCAAAACAAATTTTTTTAAAAAAATTTAAAACTCTGTTCTAATTATAAACTTATATGTAGGATCATCAATGTCCTGGATCCAATTAAAATAAGGGAGGGGAGAGGGGAAGACTATCTTTTAATTCCATCCCACAGGGAGCAAAAAATGTGACTGAAGCGCAAAATGGAAAATGAAAAATGAAGCCATCCAAAGTTATTTTCATTTTATTTCTTTCTTACAAAGTGTCATCTGGGAAGAACTAATCCCTCTATTCTGCCAATAAAAATAACAGCTAAAAAGATGGAAGCTCACATACCATTCCTCCACTAATCAGACTATTTTAATAAGATCATTTCAGAAGAGCTAAGTAAGTTGACAACTTCCTGAGCTTTTAGTGATGTGGGTATAAAGGCTGGTAGGAGAGTATTTTAATGTAAGTATGTTTTTCAGGTGACAAAGTCAATGGAATATTTGAAATAATCATTTACATTATAGTCAGATTAATGCAAAATGAGTATTCTCTCCTGTGTTTTTTTTTTCTGCATATCACAAACTTCAGGAAGATTTATTTTGTTTATTTTGTCCTCTACAAAAGTTAGCAGAAGCCAGAAACTGAAGTACAGTTCCAAGGAGAAAGAAGATAGATTTATATGGAAAATAATACCAAACTTGCCTGGAACTTCCAGACACTGTGAATCTTAAATGAATGCAAGATTTAAAACATGTGCAGGTTCTCCTGACAATCACCTCACAAATATCTTTTCTTGGAAGTTTCAAGATGTGGCAGGTTAACAAAATTGGTTATTGTTTAAATCGATGGAGTAGTTATCTCATTTGTGCTCAGTTCTTCAGTGTCCAGGCCCAGTGGTTCTCAGGGGCCACTAGGCAAGGCTAAAGTGGTGGGAGGCGTATGCAGTGCAGGAACTGACCCCAGAGTCTCATATATGTATAGCAAGCTCTACCACTTGTGCCATATCCCCAGCTTGGAAATGTTTTAACCAAAATAAGAAAATTTTTATCACAAAATAAATGTCATAAAAGATTACTTCGGAGAAGGTCAGAGAGATGGGTCAGTGGACTGAAGAATACAGTCAAAGCTTGTGGGAAGCCTGGGTTTGATTCCAAGTAACATATTCTGCCCTGAATACCAGTGGGAGGAAACCCAGTGTAAGTTCTGAGCACAGAGCCAGGAATAGGTTCCAAGGAGCACTGGGTGTGGCCTCATGTATATGTATGTATGTATGTATGCATGTATGTATGCATATACATAAATGGAAAAATGAAAAGAAGTCATAGAAAACCCTTATAGAACGCTGATACGCACACAATTTAGAACCTGTGGATCAATCCTAATGAAAGGATTTTTAAAATGATGATTATTTGAAACAATTTCTAGGATTCACTTCAAAATACTGTGGGTTGGGAGAGGATATAGACGAAACAGGCCACTAAGCACCAATTGTTGAAGTCTGTGATAGACTCCTTAGTCTAGTCTACCGATATTTTTATGATGTTTAAAACTGTGTTTAGTGGTATGTTGGGATTGTTAGGAGCTGATAATGTTACCGTTACTTCATTAATAATCAATTGTTAATAAAGTAACAGAGAAAGTTTGCCTGGGTTTGTATTTAGATCACACAAACGTTGCCATCCACAATTGAGCTACAAGGAAGGAATCAAGTTCCACAGGGAATGGAATGAGTTATATTCTAGGTGTCTGGAATAGGGCCTAACTCTTAGCTGCATGCAATATATATTTATTCAATGGGGGATAAATGAATGATTCAATGAATAAATATCTCCCAGAAGGCAGAGGAATCATGACCTTTGTGAACTAATTTGACTTTCAGTATAAGTGAAAGCTATCTTAGACTGAGCTGCTCAGAGCTTTCTCTTCAGCTCAGAATATGTCTGTATAACTCATCGTTTGTCTATCTGCTTACCTCATTATTCAAGAACTAGCTCAAAAATAAAGCCATTCCTCATAAGTTCTCTTCCCAATTCTCCTGTAGGGGCAGAGAGTGTTTTTGCCATGTTGCATGTGAATATGTTCACAAATCTATTTGTCTTGAAAACTGGCACATAAGTGGCAACTGATGACCTGTGCAAGGAGCTCAAAGCTTTGTTGCATAGTCTGTTATCAGAGATCTGGAAGGGCCCCTGCTGGGGATACTACAGAAGAGATCAGGCATCACCCACTCTCATTTGACCCACTTTTATTGAGCACCTATTTCATGCAGCGCACAAGAGCCATAGGAGTGAGTTTCTGGAGACAGTGTGAGGAAGTGTCTTTGCAAACTCAAATTCAAAGGATCAGTAAAAGTCTGTGAAAGGAGAGGCAGAAGAATACTATAGAATGAAAAATCTAATAGATGGTGGATCTAAATGTCTTTTAAGATCTCTTCCAATGTATAGAAGTTAGGATTTTTTAACTTAGACCTAGAACCGAGTCACGTGGTGGTAAGCCCTGTAAATACGTACTTCTGAATTGCCCCTGAGCTGGCTTGCTTTCCTTATCTTTATTGTATGCAATAAGTTGAACTGTGTAATTCTGGTCTGGCATGAGCCCTTGTATAATTGCTTTAGTTGCGGTGTTCTGCAGATTCAACTGATTGGTTTTTCCACCTACAATAAAAGAAAAAGTCATATCAGTTCTGAAAAATAAGTTAACTATATGTTTTTAGAAGTTTTATTAACCAGCAACTCAAATGTTTTATTAACCAGATTTTTAAAGTACAAATATTCCAACATATATTATAGTACATATATACATAATATCTAATTTCAATATAAGTTTTCTTCTCATTTTCTATTGTAATGTTTGCATAGCATAGCTATCTAAATTAAGTTTAAAAACACTTTTGGGGGGTTGTAGATATTGTACAACAGTTAGGGTACCTGCTTTAGACATGACTGACTTGAGTTTGATCCCCAGCATCCCATATGGCTCCCTGAGCACTACCAGGAGTAATTCCTGAGAGCAGAGCCAGGAGTAATCTCTGAGCTTTGTCGGGTGTAACCCAGAAAACAAAATTAAAGAAATAAATAAATATTTCACAAAAAAGTATTCACAAAAGCCTTTTATCATTACATGCAGTTTCTTCCCTGGAGAATGTCACAGTATAAATCTGAAGACAGTAGTAAGCCCTCAACATCAGACATATTCTTCAAGGAAAGAATTTCAATTGCCAGTGAAAAAATAAGACTCAGGAAGATTAAATGTAATAAACAATCGCATATTTCCCCCCAAGGTTTCAAAAATGTGAGTTAAAGCATTCTCGAAGCATAAGAAATTTACTCATATGATCTGGATTCCAGTCATCACTTCTCAGGTTCATAAAGAAAATATTCATTGCCCGGTCACTTAAAAATGAGCTTGGTTCAGGGTTGGGGATGTGACTCATTGGTAGATAGAGCACTTACTTGCTTAGCATATGTAAGACCTAGGGGTTCGATTCCCAGCTCTAACACACACACACACACACACACACACATACACACACGCGCGCGCGCCCTAAAAAGGTAATTTGGCTCATAATAAGATTTCAAATTCTCATCATATTTCCCTCAAATTAGATTGCTGCCTGAGTTTTCTGATTAAAATTTTTACATCTATGCACAATCTCAAATATGCCTTTCTTCTCTAATTTCTGGCATGGTGAGTGTCTGTGCAAACAAAAATTAATTTTGTCCCTTCACAATAATATCAAAAGGGTCTGAAAAAATTAAGTGGAGCAAGAAGTTTTTATTAAACAAAATTTACTTAGAAAGACACGAGGGAAGAGAGAGAAAAATACATGTTCAAGGGAGAATACGGGCTTAAGAGGGCAAGCCAAGGGTCTGAAATTTAATGACTGAATCAAACACAGATTACAATCTGCTTTAACCATATTTAATAGGATAATTGCTAAGTCTCTAGTTTGACACTGCTCTCATCCAAGCCACCTGCTAGTAGAAGGCAGAGCTGAGCATTTCTCTTGCCCAAACTCACTTCCTTACATTTGTGTCTAAAATGTTAAGTCTGATTTCATAAACATTTATCATTTAAAACTCTTCCCCTGAGTAGTGTGCCAAATAAATCTTTCATGTGGTGCTTCACTAAAATAAAGATCTCCCTCAAGCACTGGATTAGATTTGAGAACATAATATTGCTCATCACAGGTGGGTCACTTCAGTTGTCTAATGTGGGAAAAGTTATCATCTACTACCACTAAACCAGAAGTGATTCAAAGGAGCCTATGAGTAATTTTTGCTTTTTTTGGCAGGGGGGGTCATACCCGGTGATGTTCAGGGGTTAAGTCCTGGCTCTACCCTCAGGAATTAATAATCCTTGCAGTGCTTGGGGGACTATATGGCATGTGGGGGATTGAACCCAGGTTGGCTGCATGCAAGGCAAACACCCTCCCAGCTGTACTATCACTCTGGCCCCTATGAGTAATTTCTGTTTGGTTGGTTTTGGTTTGGAGATCATCCCCAAGAGTGCTCAAAGGCTACTCTTGGTTCAGTGCTCAGAGGACGAGTCATTCCCAGTAATGCCTAGGGGACAATGCAGTGCCAGGTATTGAGCCTGAACTCCTGTGTGTATGCCAGCCAACTGAGCTAATTTCCTGGCCCCATAGGTAATAGTTTTTAATTTAAAATATAAAAGATTCCAGGCCAGAGCACTAATCCAATGGGTAAAATGCTTGCCCAGCACATGGCCAACCTCGGTTGAATTTCAACACCCCATATGATCCCCTAAGCCCACCAGGAGTGATCCCTGAGTGCAGAGCCAGGAATAAGCTGTGAACACCATTAGGGACAGCCAAAAAAACAAAAATGAATAAAAATCAAATCAAATAAAACTCTCCTTCTTAGCTGCTAAACAAGAAGTTCATTTTGTTTGAGATTTTAAATTCACTAAGCAGTAAGATGACCATATTTACCAACAACAGAATATCTCTCTCTATCACTGAGTTGGGAAAATGGTCTTCAATAGAAAGGAGTCCTGTGAAATCATGCAATTTGCAGCTATGTGGATGGAACTTGAGGGTACAATGCTGAGTGAAATAAGTCAGAAGAATAATATCTCTTGTACTTGCTGTATAAACATAGTAAGGGACTATCAAATGGCCAAAGACATCAGAAAGAAAAAAGCGGTTTGAGAGGAGGGTGGGAGGTGGGTTGGAGGGGGTCCATGGAACAGTGGTGGAGGGAAGTGGCACTCTGCTATAGGTATGGTGCTGAAATGAAATATGCATGAAATGACCATTAACACTATTGTAAACCAGGGTACTGCAATAAAAATGAGGGGGGAAAAGGACTTTTGTTCTATATAAACTTTATCACCAATATAAATAATAGAATATGTTCCTTCTAAGTATTTATAGTAAGCTATGTGAAAATGGGTCCCAGAAAAGTATGATTGCTGAGAGATATGCTGAAGACTGTAAAATTGGGGTGTTATTTATTGAGTACTATTTGGTAGTTGCTATTTTAAGTCTTTATGTTTATTCACTTCCACAGTGTATCCTCGACTTTTCTATTTTAACATGTAATTTTATAGAATAGACTATCAGGCAGTCTGGACTGTTGACCAGTAGGCCAATATTGGAATAGAATTAATCAAGACTTTTAGTAGCCTGGAAATTTCACTTGAAGAAAATTATGGTGAACCCAATAATAACTCTTAAGAATTTGGAGAATATGGACTTTTGTTTCCTTGGATAGAATCCAAAATTTCAAGCTCAAAAGAGTAAATAAAACCAAAAAGATGACTTTAAGCCAATACTTATGACTACACACTTTTAGTTTCCTATGTATAAAAAAAGTGATAGAAATTCAGAAAATACAGTTGATCCTTTTTACCTGAAGCTGGAGTCACAAGAAGTTTGTAACCACCAAATTTTCCTCGTGGAGCCTTCCATGAAATCTGTATACTATCAGATGATAATACATTATATCTTAACCGTGTTGGCGGAGACACTAAAAAGAAAAAAAATATTTTATTGTTGGAATATTTAAGCATCCAATTGTTAAACTGAATAGTGAATGCAATGTAATAAAAATATATAACACTTCATCTGTCTCAAATTCTTTCTACAATCCCATTAACTAATGGGTTTGTTTCTAACAAACAAACAAAAGCAAGAGCTTTTGTTTCTTACTTAAATTTTTCTTACTTAAGCATCTGTCAAATAGTCCTGATCTTGTGACAAAGAACTATAACTCTGGATTAAAATTTAATTCTCTAGTCTAATAAGTGAAATTATCTCTTAAAATGTTATTAAACTATGTCATAAGAACGGATTATTTTTTTAACGTAAAAAACGTTTTGTTTGTTCTTGGGCCGCATCAGCAGTGCTCATTGCTTACTCCTGGCTCTGTGACCAGAGATCATTCCTGGCGGGCTCAGAAACCCATAATTGGTACCAGGAATCAAATCTGGGTTAGTCACATGCAAGGCAAATGCCTTATCCATGGTACTATTGCTGCTGCCCCAAGAACATGTGAAATTATATCATCTACTCTACTGGCAACTGTTTGTAATTTCAGTTTTCACTTCATACTGTAATATATTTTATTACATAAAATAAAAACAAAAAGACCATTCTGTATGTCACAGTAATAACATTTCCACTGAGAAGCATTTGATAAAAATTTTATAAGTGTAGTTAATTCATACCTTTTAGAAATACACATAGAACATGATCAAGTATCATCCCTGTTGAGACAGAGCAATAGTACAGTGGATAAAACGCTTGCCTTGTACATGGCCAACCTGGGTTCAATCCAATATCCCATATGGTCCCCTGTGCATTGCCAGGAGTAATTCCTGAGCACAGAACCAGGAGTAACATCTGACCATCACTGGGTGTTGCCCCAAAACAAAAACAAAACAAAACAAACAAGCATAAAGAATCACCCCTGTTGGCTTGGGAATATGACTCAGTAGTGGGGTACTTGCCTACACGTGTAATGCCCAGAATTTGATTCCCAGACAGCCACCCCTGAAAAATACATGTTCCAGTATACATCATCTTTCCCATGAGTTCACAGAAATGGGTAGTTCTGTAATACTTTTGCATAAGTCATTTGAACCTCACAACACCTCCCGGGAGCCATATATCAACGTCCCAAAATTTCAAAAGAAATATAGTAAGGATTTTTTTTTAAAGAAAATTTTGCTGGGAACAGGAACATAGCTCCGTGGTAGAGTGCTTATCTTTCATGTATGAGGTCTTGGGTTTGATCCCCAGCACTGTAATAAAAACAATTTATTATATAATATTTAAATTATTGTGTCAAAGAAAATAAAAGTGGCACAAAATAGTGTCAGTGCTTTCTAACTACTTTTATACCCAATTTTTCTTGCTCAGAGAATAGAGGGGATGGGGGCGAGGACAGAAATAAACATGTAGTTACTCCATGCCAATATGGAGTTTGGGCATTCCTTTGATGCCCAGTTCTGCCAAATATTTGATAGAGTACTTTGAGCAAGGATTATTTCTTTCAAAGTCTCTTTAAAAAAAAAAAGATGACAGAAAAGCTTCTTCACTGAATAGATGACAACTTTAGGATTAAAGACACACAACGTGAGAATAGGTGTTAATCAATGTTGCTCTCCGTTCCCCATACTTCATCTAATGGATCATCTCAAAAGCTCAGAATCCTTGCAAAAAATACTTTGTTATTCCAATTTAACAGATAAAGAGAAGCTGAGTGACTTGTGCAAGTTTGCACATAAAAGACACATACTCTAGTGAATGACAATCTCTTACCCCAAATGAGATGCTCTACATCTTTGAGAGAAGATCCCTGTTGAGAAGTCACCTTTTAATGAATTAGGTAACCAAAGAACTTCCTCTACAAACCTCTACCCCTCTGAAGCCATGAAACACTCAAGAATACAATCATTAAAGTGCTATTCTTTACCCAGATGCGTTCTTCTACCTCAGGGGAGAATGCTAGCCATTCAAAAGAAACTTTTTTTTTCTTAATTGGCATGAGTGAGAGAATGAGTTTACATTTCTCACGCTTAAAAGGAAGTATAAGTTGACCATAAAAGCATCCAATTTGAAAAGAAAGAAGAAAGTGCCTATGTCTAACATTTGGATAAACAGAAAAGCAATCATATTTTATTTAATCTGCAACTTGGAGAGGTAGCTTTATCGTTTTACTTATTGAGTATTACTAATAAGGGTTATTTATTAGTTCAAATTAATATTTATTGAATATTATTAATAAGTAGCACTGCCTGGAGCAATAGCACAATGGTAGGGCATTTGCCTTGCACGTGGCTGGCCCAGCTGAGCTGAGTTGGATCCCTCTGCCCCTTTCGGAGTGCCCGGCAAGCTACCGAGAGTATCTAGCCCTCACGGCAAAGCCTGGCAAGCCACCCGTGACGTATTCGATATGCCAAACACAGTAACAACAAGCCTCACAATGGAGACGTTACTGGGCCCGCTCGAGCAAATTGATGAACAATGGGAGGACAGTGACAGTGACAGCATTAATTTAGTATCATCATTATAAAATAACATAATATGAGAAAAACACCCAAGGACAGTAGACAGTAGACATAAAGGCCAGGAATATTGTTCCATCTTTGGAAGTCTGTCTCATGAGTTGGGGAAGAAAGCAGCTGGAATAGAGAGGAAATCACTGAGTCAATAATGGTTGGAGGAATAATTCAGGATGGGAGATGTGTGCTGAAAGTAGAAAAAGAACCAAACGTGATAGCCTTTCTGTACCTATATTGCAAGCCATAATGCCCCAAAGCAAAGAGAGAGTATCGAGGAAATTGTCTGCCATAGAGGCAGGGGGAAGGTTGGAAAGAGGGGTGTATACTGGCGACATTGGTGGTGGAAAATGTGCACTGGTGGAGGAATGGGTATTCAATTATTGTATGACTGAAACTTAAACATGAAAGTTTTGAAACTGTATCTCATGGTGATTCAATAAAAACAATTTAAAACTAAAAAAAAAATTTAGTATCATCATTAAGTAGCACTGATAAGTGAGATTCAATAAGTAATAAAATAATTGTTTCTTACTTAGGACCAAAAGTTAAACAAGAGAGCCAGTTTTGGTGCCAAGTTAAAAGGGCTGGGAAACATTGCAGCCAAGCTTATTGTAGTATTGAATGTATGAATGTACAGAAAACCTGTGTGCCTGGAAACCAAGGGGTAAAGTGCAAGCAGCCTTCAAGCTTCCATCTAGGAAATTCCAAGAGAATTAACAGGTTTTTGTCAGCACCCAGGTGTGTTGACATCTCCAGAAGGGCAAAGAAGTTAACAATATTTAGCATTCTTCAGTTAAAGATTGGGAGATTTTCCGGCATTTTCCACCCAGGTGACTGTTCTTTAAACGTAGTCTGAGTTTGCAGCCTGCAACGTCTCTTTACTCAGTAGCTAACCTTCTAACCTTGGGCAGAAAGTAATAGGTAACTTTGACCATGCCTTGGCCCTGGCAGGGTCATGCTCAGAAAATACAGGTGTTCCTCTGAAACCCAGAGCTGTAGTGCCTTCATTGATGTACTCACAGAAATAAAGTGCAAAGCAAATGCAATCACCAAATCTTACTGAGACCATTTACAAACCATTCCTATGATGATAGTTCTGTTACAACAACAGGCAAAAAGCAGCTCCACCATTTTCTATCATTAAACCACAGGTATTGCCCATACAAGCATAAATATGCTCAGATTCAGGCAAAGAAAACCTTGTTTAGATACAAAGTTCACGTTTCCTTTAGGATTTTGCCTTTGAAGGGAAAAAAATAGTGAAAAGAAGAAATACTTGTTAAGAAAGAAAGAACCATGAGGTCACACATTTGAACTTCAAAGTGAGCTCTTTCCCCTATATGAAAGGCACTAGGACTTGTGCCAAAGAAAGGCAGCAAGATTGACAGAAACACTGGAAGTGCAGTGAAGAAATAATTGTTCTTATCTCATGGAACAAATATGTGTGTATATTTAATACCAGACAAAAGGAAAGACTTTTCTTTTTGTGAGCACAAAGGAGGGGCTTCCAGGAATAAGTACAAATGCTTGCATGAACTTGACTCAAAAGTTAACTCACGTCCATTAATATCCTGACCTCTTTAAAAAAGACAAGAATAGAGTTTATAGTTGGATTTCTGGCACACACCAGGACCCAAAGCAAACCAATACATTCATCCTTTGAGAAGTGCAATGTGGCTTCGTGTGCAGGACAAGACTGAACAGGATAACTGACCAGCGATCTGGTGGCAGGGTGGGGGGAGTCATTTGGCTTCCTCTCTGTTACTGAAAAGGAAGGGGTATTTTTGGTTTTTGCCGTATATTTTCGGAGGGAAGATTTTCTTTCAACTCAAGGAACTTCATTGTAATTGGCCTCATAGAAGTCCAACCTCGTAGCAGAAAAGGAATGTTTATTTTCTGCCATTGAAGCTTCACTGTTTTCAGTTACATAGCAATTTTTTTCTTTCACAGTATCTAGATATTTATTAAAGAACTAGTTTTCTGACCACTGCCTTCCCTCTACCCTGCCTTCTTCTCTTCCTTCCTCTTTCTTTTCTTTTTGCTTCTATTTCTTCCTTTCTCTTTCACTTCAAGTAAAATTTTGCTGTTTTGGCAAGTTACAACAGATGGCAAGATTTACTTCTGATATATTAATTCCACAAAACCCCACTTTTTTACTCAGAAACACCAAAATGGAGATTTTGTTTGTTTGTTTGTTCTTCACTACCCATCTACCCATCGTCACACACCCCCCCCCCCCCCCCCCGTTTCCTTCCTAGCAAGGATCTGGTTATCTTCCAAGGAATAACACTCCCTCCCTTCAGCAGGGGGCCTTGGCCGTACCCTCCAATCTCCCCTGGCTAGGTCTTGGGAAAATTACTCAAATCGGGTCAGGCTGACTTTCCTAAGAATAGGAAACTTGTGTCCAGCGATGGAAGGATGGAAAATAGGTCCAGTTATTTCATTCCAATGACATGATCTA